TTTGGTCCATCCCCTCCAGGGTACCTAGTGTTGGCTGCTGTCGGCAGACAGGCTACTGGGCTAGATGGACCTTTGGTCTGACCCAGTACAGCCATTGTAAGCTCAGGGCTCAGGGTCGGGGGTCTCAGTGGACCACCTTGATATTTATGCAAACCTGCTCCTGGGTAGCCAGGCTGGCAGCTCTCCTGCCCTAGACGGCCGCTTTCCTGTGCCTAGTGCGGAGGTTGTGGATGAGGTCCATGATGTCTGCTCTAGACCAGGCGGGCGCCCGCCTCTTGCAGACCTGGGCAGGCTCCCGGGAGCCGCCAGCCTGGTCCCAGGAAGAGGCGGAGGGCTGGGTGGCAGTGGGTGGCTGGCTTGAGCTGTGCCAGGTGCAGGGTCTGCTGGCTGGGTGCTGGCAGGCTTGCACCTGGCACGGGCACCGTAGCCAGCCTGTGCCCCTTTAAGGGCTCCGGAGCCGGGAGGGGGGCATACGAATTTCCCTGGTGGTGCCCAGAGTGGCCACCAGGGAAAGCTGGGGAGGGCTAGCCTCCCACTAGTTCGAATTAAGTGGCTACACAGCCCTTAATTCAAACTACTTAATTCGAACTAGGCGTTAGTCCTCGTGGAATGAGGTTTACCTAGTTCGAATTAAGTTCGAACTAGCGGTTTGCTAGTATAGCGCCTATCAAAGTTAATTCGAACTTACGTCTGTTAGTTCAAATTAAGTTTGTAGTGTAGACATACCCTGAGAGTGAGAAAATAGAGAGGGTAGGGACAGTAAAAGAATTAGCTATAGCATACATACATTGTTATGTGATAGCTGTATTCCTTTTGTTTACAAGGGAGGTCTTTGTGATATTGTGTATCATGGTCTACCCTAAAGGACATATTCCTGTCCATAGTATTCATTACATTAAAAGTGACAGTAAAAAGGAGGGCACAGAAAATAATAGTCAGAGAAGAATGCACGCATTCGTATTCACTTGTTCACCTTTGGAGATTATAACACCATCAAAAGTATATGCAGTTACCATTAAGGATATGAATGTTGGCAAATATTAAAAGACCAGCAAAAAAAGAAAATAAATAGAACTGAAAGAAACTACCGTGAGAAATTAATTTGGAAAACAACAGGTAATTAATTCAATCTATATTTAAATTATTTATATTTCTTGTGTCACATCGAATAAAACACAAGCAACGTAAATTACTAAAAGTGGGGAGAGGACTTTAATGCTATATTAGGTTAAATTGCAAACTGTTCCACTAGTTGTTTCAGTTTTCCTTTTGCTTTTCCTAGAAAAAAGTCTTATAATCTCTACTTATGTATAAGTGAAACAGTCTGCTTCTCTCTGTGCTCAGTCAAGCAAAAATGATAAGTAGAAATTATAAGGGACTTTTTACTAAGAAAAAGTGAACATCAGGTTCAAGTAAGTGAAATAGTCTGCACTTCTCTTTGTGCTTGGTCAAGCAAGAGTGTAAATTATAGAGGCCAAAATTTTCAAATCTGAGTAGCTAAAATTAGGCTCCTACATAAAATAAAATAAAAATAACACAATAAAAGTAGCCTAAAATTCTAAATAGAACAAAGAGGCTTGGATTTCAAAGGTGATGAGCATCTACAACTCCCATTGCAAACCAGGCCACTTTTATTTGTATAAATATAAAGGCCTTATTTTAAATTCTAGGTTTGAAAATTTTAGCTGGAAGAAATTAGTTCAGTGCAGTATGGAACCTCTGTTTCACAGAGCAATAACATTAATCAAAACACTTCCTGGATATTTTGTTCAATAAATCAGCAGAGACTTATTTTAGTACTGCTTTCTCTTGCATGAAGAATGTTTTGATTGTGCTTTACTGAAATTGCATTTGAACGTTATTTTAAGATGCTGCAGTAAATGCTTTACTATAGTTGACTTTTGAAGAATTATCTTTTTTTCAAATTGAAAAGAATCCAAGAAGATTCCTAATCTAGGGCTTATACCCATGACATCCACGATGGTGGAAAAATTTGCTGGAGATATTTTAAGTAGCCTACCATTTTTAAAAAGGTATGTGTCTGTATTACTTTTTTCTTTTTCTGAATATGTATATAAGATTAAATCATTAGGTGTCATGGTTTTGTCATGTTCTAGGAATTTTCATTATATTTTTCTTTTCATAATTTGGTATCAAACATCCCAACCAACATTTTCAAAATATTAATTAAAAATATAAGAAGTGAAAATAGTGTGAGTTAAAGTGTAAAAACAAACAAACAAAACATATTGAAATAACAGAGAAGCATATAATAGTATTTCTGTATATTACAGAATGGTCTTGGGTACTGTTCTCCCTATTTATACAGTTTAGCTCATAAACATGTGCATGTGAGTTTCATGTCTGTCTGTCTGTCTCATACACACACACACACACACACACACACACACACACACACACTTATAATACATACCCAAAATTTCTGGAATGAAAACCGCTTATCTACACAGAATATGAGGTTTTCTCAGGGACTGAGCTGAAACTGTGGAATGAATTCCCAAAGGAATGAAGGGCCATCGGAGACCGCATTACCTTCCCTTTTAAGTACAAGACACATTTCTTTGGTCTTCCTTCTCCTTTATAAACACATAGCAGTGTGTAAATTAACCTCCTTCAAACTATTCAAACAACCAACACCACCCCTCGAAACCTTTCCGAAACAAAATCACTATATTGCACATACAAATTACCGCTAGTTGGTATCATACAAGAGAGGAACAAACCACAAGTGACAGATATTGGTCACCTAACAACACACTACTGGAAGACACTTGGATACTATCGTGATGTGTACGATATAATAACTGATACATAACAGAATTATATTATTAAAATGTGACACACATTCCTCCATTCTCTGACCACCAAAGACCGACCAAATTTGAAGAGTGTCAACTGAATTTAGCCTGGATTAAAAGAGGGTCAAATCAGGCTGCCAGTGTAAACCATGTTGGGAGCTTTGGCTTGTCGATTAGACTTGCTCCCAAAAAGGTACTGTAGAAGATGTCAGTTGCCAAAATCATGTCCATACTTGGACTCCAATTGCTTCAAACATCAGTTCCTTTAAACAAGAGTTAGCAACATTTTCTAAATATAGATAGAACTTCAGTTAGGTGGTGTGCAACAATATGTAGCAGCATTGTACTGGGGTGAGTTTCACACATAAGAGACATGGAATCACCCTAAATATCTTGTAAGGTAGGAATTCAGGTGCTGATTAAAGTAAGCTGATAGTTATGTATTGCTGCTTCATTGGAATTACAGAGTGAAATCTTGGCCTCACTGAAGTCATTAGGAATTTTTCTTTAACTTCAGTAGAGTTGGGATTTTACCTGCAGACTCTTAAATAGTTTATATTTTTACAATTGCTTGTTCACCATTTTATATTATTCTACATAAGTTCTATCAGCCCAGCAACCTACTGATGTGATATGTACTTTAAAACACGTATTTTTGGAGAAAAAAAATACTGGAAATAATATACATTATTGATGTGTCTTTTATTGTTAGTGATGACTCTGCTGTTACTTCACTCATTAAACAAAAAGAATTTGATGAACTTCGACACTGGCATTCAGGAAAGCTTCTTAGTGATGATTATGACAGAACAAAGTCCAGTTCTCAAGGTAAAATATAAGACCCCCCCCATACAGATAAAGCTAAAGTGATAGCAATGTAGTTTTATAATTTCAGACAGTGATTTAAAAGTTGCACTAATTTAATGAATCAATGTGTACTGGGGTAAGAATAGTCTTTTCAGTGTGTGTAGTACTTAGCTCAATAGATTTCCAGTCCCTCATTGGAGCACAGAGGTGCTATTGTAGTACAAACAGTGATAATAAATATAAAAAAAGCAACTTGAGTCTGAAGTACTGTTTTCTCAATTTAGAAATAATGAGAAATGCTGAGATTATTTTAGTAAGGCTACTCACATGCCTAAAGTTAAATATTTCTTTAATTATTTAATTATTTAATTGTTTGCAGGATCAATACCATAGGTTAATGAATACTTGCAAAAGTGAAAAGTAGCCATTTCACAAAAATGTACACATTAAAAATAATGCAACAGCTAAACAGTTTTCTTCTTCATATATAAATCAATCACTATTTGATTGACAAGATTTATTATTTTTCCATGACCACGCATCATAGTGTAGGGTCAGCTTTAATTTGTTGCTCTGTAATAAAATTCTATAGTATGTTAATAATATAATTTCTTCTACAGTTTTTGTTTCTATTATGCTAAATAATTATTCTGAATTTATCAGAATTTAAGATTAAATCATGCTTGCTACTACATGAGTATGCTAGAGGAGAGGCTTCAACTGGACTATTGTGTCCAGTTGTGGGCATCACATTTCAGGAAAGAGGTGGACAAACTGGAAGAAGTCCAGAGAACAGCAACAAAAATGATTAAAGGTCTAGAAAATGACCTGTGAGGGAAAATTGAATAAATTAGGTTTGTTTAGTTTGGAGAAAAGAAGACTGAAGGGAGACAATAATAGTTTTCAAATGCATGAAAGATTTTTACAAGAAGTACTGAATGGCTACGTCTACACTGGCCCCTTTTCCGGAAGGGACATGTTAATTTCAGAAGCCGTAATAGGGAAATCCGCGGGGGATTTAAATATCCCCCGCGGCATTTAAATAAAAATGTCCGCCGCTTTTTTCCAGCTTTTAGAAAAGCCGGAAAAGAGCGTCTACACTGGCCCCGATCCTCCGGAAAAAGCGCCCTTTTCCGGAGGATCTTATTCCGGAGGATCTTCAAAGTAGG